CCTCATTTACTATTTTTAATCATTTTTTTTTACTACAGGTCGGTCCCCACAATGTCAAAGATTTCAGGTTTTACTATCCTTGTGAGGACATTTGGTCACCACAATGTAGCATAAACAAGTACACACACACACACACACACACACACATATATATATATATATATATATATATATACAGATTATTTTATTATTTTCTCAAACAGAATAAATGGGTCTGTTTGCATGATGTAATCATATAAATAAATGATTTAAATTAATACGTTTTATAAAGAATCTTAAGGAGATTGTGATATTTGGGAATCCTTGGCATCAAAATGTTTGAAAACCCTTTATATACAAATAAATAGTAAACTTGTTGCATTTTGCCAACAGTGATTTAGTGACTACAACTATCACACTATTACAATATATTAAATTAAGGCCATAAATAAAAAAAATGTTGCTATACACTGAGAAATTTAACAAATAACCTGCCATTTAAACCTGACCTGAATATTTCCTCTGTTTGCGCAACTGACGCGCAGCTTTGATGTTGTTTAATGTAAACGCATACATCCTACGTCATGCATTACGTCAGTGATGCTGTCTGTCTGTTCTTTCTGCTTGTTTGTGTATTTATTTTTCACTTATTTCGATAAAGAGTTCTTTCGGTACATTTTCAGCAAGTATCGATCGGTTCACGTTTGCTGGCCTTCACATTGTGAAAGTATAGAGGGCCGACGTCTGCGCATGCGCAGTGCGCGTCCGTTGGGCCGTTGCTGTTGGAGCGGGAATACGCATACGCACATCTCTCACCTTTACTGGTCCTACAGCTGAAATAACAGCACAGCATGCCTCGAGAAATCATCACCCTGCAGCTCGGACAGTGCGGGAATCAGAGTGAGCCATTCGCTGTGTATCACGCTCTGTTTGATGGTCTCTACATAAACAGTTAGCTAGCTAGCTAGCTAGCTATCACACTGGATAGCTTTGAAATGATACAGTAGATACAGTCAATATGGTTTTGGTTGTTTATTGGAGCTTTTCGTCAGCACGAAGTCAAAAACGTATTCACTAGTTTCCACTTATTGACTACTCTTAATTGTTGTTTGCTAATTAGTAATGATAATAATGTAATGCTGTCAGTTGGAGATAACTGTAATGAATCAAATTGTAATGTAACCAACCTGACATCTAATTTAGTGTGTTTATGTATGCACATAATTCTAAACGCTGCTTTGTATTATTTACAGTCACGTAAATAATACAAATAAAGCGTTGTGTTTATCTTTTACTCTGAGCAATATGGGCTCATGTGAGCTGAGACTGTGTCAGACTTGGTCATTGAAGGCAAATGATCACTGAGTGCAAGATTTGATTTCTATCAAAGATGTGGTATAAACAATAGCCATTACATTAATATTCTTAAATCACACCGCTATATAATGTCATGACAATAGCTAACAGCCTTTTTACAACTGTTGTTAAGAATCCAGCATTAATGGACTGAATGGTGTGTTTTTTCTCTCTCTGTGCAGTTGGTTTTGAGTTTTGGAAGCAGCTGTGTGCTGAGCATGGCATCAGCCCAGAGGGCATCGTAGAGGAGTTTGCCACTGAGGGTACAGACAGGAAAGACGTCTTCTTCTATCAGGTACACAAATATAGACTAATAAGGCATTTGGAGCTAATCAATCACCAACCATGATCAACACATCAAGATTGCTGCTCTAAAATCTATGTTTTATTCAGCGATATAAACCATTGAGTTTGTATATAGACACCTATCTTATCATCAAGACAACAAGCAACATATGGATAGTATTACAATGGCTACTCTGCCATTGTGGCCAGTATGAACAATTTCAGTTTAAATTTTAAAGTACTTCTCTAGCATGATTGTGTTTACACTTTACATACAATATTGCCAAAACATTATACACAAAAAAGATAATCAAGAAAAATAAATACTACAGTAACAAACAAGTGCAATACAAATACTATTAAAGCAAAGTTCTAAGTAATAAATAAAATAACATAATAAAATATAGTGTATATAATATAAAAAACTTTTAAAATAAAATGTAATATCTCATTAAGATTATTCATTGTTAGATAGGAGTTCACATAATTAACCACCAGGTGGAGCTAGGTTCCCATGTTTGCAGCTGTTGTAAGTCCATTATCCCTCTGCAATCATTATGTGGAGGCCTTTTCACAATCTGATGGAAAATTGATTTGAAATAAATGGCACAGCTTCTAGTTCCATTTTTTCGGAACAAAAGACTATTCCAATTAAAGAACAAAATTAGTTATTTCACAGAAACTGCAGTGAAATCCTAATGTTTTCAAAGGGACTGCTTATATTTCTTCTGAAATGAGGCATTAAGTGTTAAAGCTCTCTTCTGATGTGAATAGATTGCGTGAGTCACAGTATTATAGTCATTTCCTCTGTATTATGGCTAGCTGTGTGGTATGTAAAGTAGTGATCTACTGATAAAGATTTTTTTTGATGGTGATGCCAATATCTTAGAGAGCAGGGTGGCCTATGAAAACTGTATATGTGTGTGCAGGGTTGGGCAAAGATACATCAAAATGTATTTTAAAATAAAATACCAAATACCTTCATTTTAAGTGTATCAAAATAAACTACAAAATACAGCAGCCACACCATGTATCAAAATAAACTACTGTATTACCAGTTTTCCCCGTTTACATGCACATCAGTAACCCGACAACGCATGTAAGCTGCGTTTACATGCAGTTTACATTTCCCTGTAGTGACGTCAAAATATAATCATTTGCGTATCTGACTCCGAGTATTCCATACATTTGTCAGTTGTGATGTTAAATTAAGCTTGCAACATGTCAACTTGCAACATGTCGGGAAACTTACAGCTCATATATTATCCTCTCATGCAGTTATAAACGCAGCATTGTGACTGAACCACTTCTACTTCTGCTGCACGAGATGAGAACACATTTTTATCATTGTCTAAGTCATGAAAAAGTCTGCTTTTCTGATATATTTCCTTCTTTCTTTACTGCAAGACGTTTGCTCGGTCTAGATGCGCTTAAATCTGCACTAACGCACGTTTCTTACCTTGACCAACTTCTTCCATATGCATCAATTTTCTGTTCTGATCTCAACAAGTCTGGGCAAACTAGCTTATTGAGTAGGCACCCATCAGAGGCCGCATTTTTATCATGTCATCATGTAGACTTCTTACAAAGTATTTTACAGTATTTTAAAACTACAAAAATACAAACAGATTTGTACTTCTTGATATCAAAGTCTTGATTCTAGAATCTTATTCTAGTATTTTCACAAATAAAGAAATTTAGTCTGCCCCGTCGTGGAGGCTATAAAATGCACACGTCCAAGGAACTATCTGCTAGATTCGCGAATTTTGTGTGGTTCGTGGAATTAAATATTTATTAGATATTCAAAGACTTGTTTAAATTATGTGTATTTGCTTGGATATGAGAAGGAATTATTGCATTTGCCTTTCTATTAATGCACTGACTTTGTCATCACTGTCGAAATAAAAGTTCCCCTTCTGACAACTATAGACAGAAAAGATTTGTTGATCGATGCCGATAAGTAAAAGATGCCAATTATCTGCCAATATATCAGCCTTGCTTATACATCGTTCAGCCACTAATGTAAAGCAGCAGTAGTCAGTCTACTGCTGATATCATACATTCTAAGATATATTTTGGGATTCTCATGGATGCTTTCATTTTGCAGTCTCAAGCTGCACAAGTAATCATAAGCATCTTGAGTACTTCTCATTTT